ATTTATATTATATACATTTCATCACAATATAATTAAAAATTAACAATGTAAAATACCTCCAAATCATTGAATTATACTCTTTAAATGGGTGAATTGCATGGTATGTGAATTACATCTCAATAAAGCTGATTTGTAACCGCCTGCCCCAGGTTCCCATCTCCTTCAGGGCACAAGGCAACATTCCTGACCCTGGCCCACCACGTGATGCAGCACCCCCATGCCAGCTCCCTCCCTCTCTAATCTCATCCACAACCCCATCCTCCACCTGCCTTCTCATCCCAAAAGCGCCAGGATCTCTGCCTCAGGGCTTTCACATCTGCTCCTCCCTCTCGATGGAGGCTCTTCCAACCAAGTTAGTGGTTCTCAACTCTGCCTGCCCATCAGGATCCCCTGAGGAGCTCCAGAAAGTACCCACGCCCAAGCCCCACCTAAGAGAGTCTCTGCGAGGCACGTAGACAGTATCTGGGCATTTATTAATTTTTTACATCTTGCCAGGTGCTTCTAACGTTCAGCCAGCGTTAAGGTTGGCTGTCCAAGATGTCCCGGCTCAGTCCCCCCTCCACCAGGCTTCTCCTCAGAGGTCAGCTCCTCAGAGATGCTGTCCCCACCACGCCATCTCCCTGCCCACCTCACCCTGCTTCATCTCTGCACACCTAGCCCGCCCAGCATCACACAACACGCATATTTGACACTTCCCACTGAAAATGTCAGATCGATGAGGACAGAGACTGCGCCTTTTTGTTCACTACGGTGTCCCCAGTGCTTGGCTCATACAGAAGGCTCAGTAAACAGCTGTCACCAAAATGAACGATCTGGGCCCACGTTCTTTCTCCCTGTCCCATGGTCCAGCTGTTACTGCAGGCTGCAGTTCTGTGCGTGGCCACCAGGTGGCGAGAGTGCCAGTTACATTAAAAGGCACCTCCGCCCCCACCCTGCAACTGTCCAGGCTGGCGGTCCCAGCCCGTTGCTGTCCCATGCCTGGCCACTGTCCAGAGGAAGAAGCGAGGACCATAGAAGCTTCTGCCAGCTTTGCCAGACCCCTTCAGGCCCTCCCTCTTCTCATGGATAGATTCAGAGTCACTGGGTATCTGAAGAGGCCTGGCAGCCTGGTCTGGAAACTCAAGCCCTTCGCTTATCTGGCTGGTCACTGACCCTCTGGCATGACTACCATGGGAACCCTCACTGAGACAGGTGCACACGTGCACCACAGGTCTGTTTGCCACACCAGGGTTTGGAGACAATCTGAATGTCCCAGTGTGGACTGGCTACCTGCACATCTTTGCACATAACATGTCACACACCCATAACGAGGAGTGCAGATGTGCTTGTACCAGTATGGAGCCATACCCAAATCTTTAGGTTAAATTTTAAAAAAGGGGACAAGACAGAAGGGTATCAAATGCTACCATTTGTGTATAAAAACAAAGAGAGAAATGTGTCTGCATTTGTTTGTAAATGGAGATTCCCTGAGGGATTGGCAGGAAGGGGTTTGGAGAAGCCCAGGGTAGCTGGGAGGGAGGGACTTTACACTGTGGGTCCTCTCTATCTTCAAATTTGAGTCATGTGGCTCTATTACCTAGTCAAATAAACAGCAAAATTAAAATTCAACATATTTTTTGTTTGTTTTTGTTTTTTGTTTTTGTCCTTTTTGAGACCGGCCGCACCACGCTCAACCAGTGAGCGCTGTGAGCACACCGGTCCTCCCTGTATAGGATCCGAACACGGGCTCGGCCCAAAATTCAACATATTTTAAAAAGCAGCCATGGGGCCGGCCCGGTGGTGCACTCGGTTGAATGCAGCGCTTGGGAGCGCAGCGGCGCTCCCACTGAGGGTTCGGATCCCATATAGAGACAGGTCCGCTCACTGGCTGAGCGCGGTGCGGGCGCAACACCGAGGGTTGCAATCCCATTACCGGTCACGAAAAAGACAAAAAGGAAAAAAAAAAAAAAAAGCAGCCATTTCTCTGCCACCGCTTCCTCGAGTCCTTTCTTCTATGAGCTGGGAGGTGCAGGGACGCCTCAGGTGAGGACAGGTCAGAGGCTGACCTCTGCGTTGGAACGCTGCCCACCACTTCGGGGCTATGTGATCATCAGCCCTTCCAAGCCCTGGGGACACAGTGGGGAACAGAGACAGCCCACATTTGAGTGGGACACACACACGTGAAATAAAGTCATCAACGCCTATAAACTTTGCTCAGGAATGTGAAGAAAACCGTTTAAGAGGCTGAGACAGAGGCTATTAGGAGTGAGCAGGGGCTACTTCAGAGGTGACATCTGTAAGACTATCTGAAGAATAAGGTGCCAGCCATGAAGGGGTGGGCAGGTCGAGGGAGCAGAGAGCACAAAAGCCCAGAGACCGTAACAGTCCTGGCTTGCTGGTGCCAGAAGACAGAGAGCGACTGGACTCCACCCCACACACCCTGGCCTCTTCCCCTGCTACATGGGCTACGTCCACCCCGCCTCCAGTCTTCAACGAGGGAGGGGGGAGGGTGCTTGTGCATGCCCAGTAAAAGAGAACTAACATTTTTTCACTTAAAAATTGACAAGCTGGCCAGTTAGTTCACCTGGTTAGAGTGTGGTGCTGGCAACCCAATGGTCCAGGGTTCGATCCCTGTACTGACCAGCCACCCCAGAAAAAAGACAAATGTTCTACTGGAAAAAGCACTTAAAAAGGAGTCCAATTAGAATCCTTCACTAGCTCTATGGCCTTGAGCTGGTCACTTCTTTGGGCCTGTTCCTACAGCAGCTGGTGGGAGATCGCACCTACTAGCCTTCTCGCAGAGGACGGACACACCCAAGGATCAAGGAGGAAATCCCAGGGCACTGATTCTGCAACAACCGGCACCCTCCCCCACTCACTTGCTCCTCTAAGCCACACTGGCCTTCTTGCCATTCACCAAGAATATTGAGCTCCAGGCCAGCCCATGGCTCACTTGGGCAAGTGTGGTGCTGATAACACCCAGGCCACGGGTTTGGATCCCTATATAGGGATGGCCGGTTAGCTCACTTGGGAGAGCGTGGTGCTGACAACACCAAGTCAAGGGTTAAGATCCCCTTACCGGTCATCTTTTAAAATATACATATATATATATTGAGCTCCCACATACCCCAGGGCCTTTGCACTTGCTGGACCCTCCGGTCAGGGACACTCACCCACCCTATTTTCCCACAGTCAGCCTCTCACTCAGGTGTCAGCTCAAATGTCCCCTCCCAAGAGAGGCTTCTGCCTGGTCCCCACTGGAGTCCTGCTCTTCACCATCCCCATTTTGTCCCTTCACAGCACTGGCCAACCAATGGCAAGCAGCCCAAATCCAGCCCATTCCCTGTTTTTGTATGACCTGTGAGCTAAGAATAACATTTACAACTTTTTTTTTTTTTTTTTTTAAGATGACCCGTAAGGGGATCTCAACCCTTGACTTGGTGTTGTCAGCACCACGCTCTCCCAAGTGAGCTAACCGGCCATCCCTATATAGGGATCCAAACCCGTGGCCTGGGTGTTATCAGCACCACACTTGCCCAAGTGAGCCATGGGCTGGCCTGGAGCTCAATATTCTTGGTGAATGGCAAGAAGGCCAGTGTGGCTTAGAGGAGCAAGTGAGTGGGGGAGGGTGCCGGTTGTTGCAGAATCAGTGCCCTGGGATTTCCTCCTTGATCCTTGGGTGTGTCCGTCCTCTGCGAGAAGGCTAGTAGGTGCGATCTCCCACCAGCTGCTGTAGGAACAGGCCCAAAGAAGTGACCAGCTCAAGGCCATAGAGCTAGTGAAGGATTCTAATTGGACTCCTTTTTAAGTGCTTTTTCCAGTAGAACATTTGTCTTTTTTCTGGGGTGGCTGGTCAGTACAGGGATCGAACCCTGGACCATTGGGTTGCCAGCACCACACTCTAACCAGGTGAACTAACTGGCCAGCTTGTCAATTTTTAAGTGAAAAAATGTTAGTTCTCTTTTACTGGGCATGCACAAGCACCCCCTGGCCCAACATTTACAACTTTAGATGGTTTGGGGGAAAAAAATGAGTAATATTTTGTGACACAAGAAAATTAAATGAAATTCAAATTCCAGTTTCTGTAGCAGCTTATTGGAACTGACCACGCCCGTCCATGTATGTGTCCTCCATGGCTGCTTTCTCACTACGAGGACACAGGCGAGTAGTTGGGACAGAGATGGCATGGCCCACAAAGCCCACAATATTTACTCCAACCCTTTCTGGAGTTTGCAGACCCCTGCCTTCGTGGTATTTACTACATTAGTTTATCTGGTTCCGGAATGTTTGACATTTGTAGCTGGTCTGTCTTCCCATGAAGTCAAGTCTCACAATGGCAGGGCTCATGGCCCCTTGTTCACCCTCCTGTCCCCAGTAGCTGAAATCGTGCTTAGCACATATAGCAGGTCCCCTATCAATACTTGAGTGACTGAAGGATTGTTGCCCCCAGTAGAATGCAAGCTCAGGGAGGACCGGGACCAGATCCCTCGACGTCCCCACAGTGTCCTCAGTGCAGGGACAGTGCCATCCACAACGTGTATTTGCTGGTCATGGGGATGAATTTACACCTGTGCTCCCAAACTTCCCTGCAGACTATACCAAGTCTTGGTTCTTATCAGAAAGGTGTTTGTGGGGCACATCTTTTTAGGGGTAACCACTGGATTCCAGAGAAAAAGGACAACGCTGCTTGGAAAGCAAAGGAAGCTGCAGCCTTTCAAGACTGCGTTGGCTCCTCGCACCCTGTGGGCCTTCAGGAGCAGGTGGTGCCAGGGTAACTGCTGCCCATGCAAGGCCTGTTAGTCAGCTCAGGCCTGCATGGTGGCCACAGAAAGACAACTCCCGCCCCTCCTAGCTTCTCTACGACTGACCTAGAAGCCCCCGCAGGGACTGTTACCGCCAACGTGCCCCCAGCTGGGGGCAGGCTCCTGACCTCTCCCGGCCCCTTCTCCTGTGTTTGGTCATGCAAACCTGACACAGCCATCCGACCAAATGGAAAACTGCAAATTCGAGGACGATCAAGCCACTTTTCCAAAACAGTTTAATTAAAAAAAGGTGAAGAATCTGAAAAAATCGGGAGGGAGATAGGGAGGGAAGAACCCAAAAGAGCATAGCGTGTGAGTCCACTGGCTAAGTCACAAAGAAACACCATCATCAAAAAAGATATTTAAGTTTAATACAAATTTTATACAAAGAAAATGTGAAAAAATACTTCCATATGCTAAAAGCAATTATGCTTCACAAATAAGGCCAGCTAGGCTATTTTTTTTTCTTTTTGGACAACTGCAATTGACAAACGTTCTTTCTCTCCTTTTTCTTCTAATACTTTCTTCTTATTTCTTCTCTAATATGGGTAACTAGCTGGAAACTGTACAATTCGTATCCTCTTATCAACAATGAAGAGAAAGTAAACGAGACTAAAATGTACAACAAAATGTCCTGGAATGATATCGTACAATTAATTTTCTCATATACAGACATCACCTTTTGCTTTGATCAATGCTTTTTGTTTTACACAACATACAGAATGGTGCTACAGCATACGTAGTGTAACAGACAGCATGTGGGGCCTTGCTCTCTCATACTGCCTTTGTCTCATGCTTACATAAAAACGTAAAATCCCGTCATATAAATAATACATACATGCTTCCTCCCAGACTCAAACGTCCTCTGCGTGCGTCTTGCTTTCCAGTTCCTGCTCCTGAGAAGCATGGCATCTCTTCCCAAGCGTGTGAGTGTGTCGAGAGGAACTGCAGAGCAAAGATCTCTCTTTGTTTAGGAGTTTATCACCCTAACACTTTCTTCTACTCTTCTGCAATTGAGCTGAGTGGGGCTTGTTTCTGTGTATCTTCTGTAAACAAGAACATTGATTTTTCCCTTTTAGCAGGAGAGTCATCATTGAAACCACACAAAATAAACTAGCTTCTCCTGTGTTCTTCTGATCCGGAGAGTTTGTGTTTTGTAACATAATAACGTAGTATTTGAAAGGGGTCGATGGCTTGATGTGATGAGCCCATGACAGCACAGAGGCTGTGCCAAAACTCCTGATCCCAACGTGCTGCGTACACAGGTATGCGCAGAAATGGCTCACTGTCCCCCTGGGTATCCAAGGAGGAGGGCCTGTGACAGCGATCTCCAGGCCCAGTCTCTATTCCACTGTGTGACAGAAGGGCAACTGACCATCCCTTCTCCAACATCAAAACATTCTTTTTGTTATTACGTTTTTTTAAATTGTTTTTCTTTTTTATAAGTTAAAGTCAATACAAATATAAAAAGGGAAGGAACTCTAGGCTCAATGACATCCACAAATTGTACATTATTTACATCTAAAGCACAGGGTTCGTGTGGGCCGAACAGCCCTCGCTCAGAGCTAATGCTGGACATCATGTAGTGTAGGCTGCCCCCGGCGCCAGGCGCACCGGCCAAGGCTGAACACGCGGAATCCTCAAGCCTGAAGGTGGTGGTTCTGTCTTAGCCGTTTCCTATCTGCCTGGTGTCTGGGTTTCCCCCGCCAACAGTGGGGCGGGTGATTCGTGTCACAATTTGCCCCTAGTCCCAGAAGGTGTCCAGCCGAGACTCTTTCGGGATGAGGCTCTTCGCGCTGCTACTGCTGTTGTGCTCAGAGCGGGCCGATCCTCGCTTCTCGTCACTGCTGCTCCAGCAACTGGACTTGCTACTCCGGGAGTGGTCTGGGGAAGAAAACCAACACGCTCAGTATACACAGCCTGTCCCCCTCCACCTCAGCACGACGACCCTGCAATATGAGCTGCCCTCCTACCTGGGAAACCACCTGCCCCTCCCCACGCCTTAAAACGCTGACAGTTAAAATACCACCACCACTGACTTCCCTAGATCTGTGGGTCTGTAGAGAACAAAGGCAGAATAACTTATTTTTTTTTTTTTAGGATTTAACAGCTTGTTGGAAAAACAGTAGGGAGTCATGCTCACAGAGAAGAAAGATTAGTGAGGAAGTTACTAAAAATTGCCAAGGAAGGCCTTTCTAGTGCGGTCCCTGGAACTGTGTACCCTCATTACATGACTGAATGACACCCAGCACCCCATGCACTTCTGCGTCCAACCTTGGCCACTGGAGAAAGCCACCAAAATTTGGCATGCAATCTATTTACTGATGGGGTTCCTTTTGTCAACTGATAAGCAACTTGAAAAACAGACTTATAACCAAACTCCACTTGTCCACCCAAGGGAGCAGATCATAAAGAAGGAATGTGGACCAGAATGGTTAAGTCCACCTGGAAACACAGACCCATAGGCTCCCAGTAAGGACAAGTTTAAGGGTCAATGAAGGATGGAGAACCAGAGCAGACCTAGGATGGCTTTGAGGACACACATACAAAAAGCTAAATAGCTGAGGAAGAAATAAGGAAGTTGGAGTTGAGCCAATGAGGTGTCTGCAAAGATGCCTGGAATTATCCAACAGCCCAGGTCTGCAGGCTCAGGTGGACAGAGACACCTGTCGACCAACCCATAAGATCCCACCATATCTTACTTAAATCACTTACCAACTTCAGACAGACTGGGACAGGATTTTTTTTAATTTCTGAGGTGGGGTGATGCTATATGGTTGAAAGAAACCGAGGGTCAAGCTTAAACACAGAATCAGAGGGGGTGAGGAAGGGACCACACTATTGCCTTAGGGGACCGGATTTCTTATTGTCTGGTAAAAAGGCATGCGTGTCTTTAGTCATGAGTGCTGTTTCTGGAAGATAAGCAATGAAAAGAATGAGAAAGATCTCCAAAGTAATGTATTCACTCAGCAGAGAACTCTTTAGTCAAGTGCCTCGATGACCAAAAGGAGGAAGTATTCTGGCAGGCAGAGCTGGGAACAAGGGCGCTTCTTAACATCCTGAATCCACCTCTTCTTCCATGCTCTTCCCTACTGCGATGCCTACGCTTTCAGTTCTTCTGGATGGTCTTTGGGGAGTGAGGCCGCTGGTCATCGCCACACATGAGAAAATCCTACAATGATGTAGTCAAACCACATCAAGTCCCTGCAGCTCTGGGGAAGACAGAGAAGAGATGGCAGAGGGGTCAAGCCATGTACAGGGTCTCCTTGGCAGAGCCAGGCCGGCCAGCCAAGATATCTACAGGGCCCAGCTCCTCACATGGGTGGGACAAAGGGCGCTGGCTGATCCTGGCACTCACAGCAGGGGAGAATTGGTGTTAATCTAGGACCCTTTATGAAAAGAGCAAAGATGATCGCGCTCCAGAAGCCAAACTGTATGCTCGCTCACTTCCTAAGGCAGTTTGTAGTGGCCACCAGGGGCACAGCTAAGAAGAAACACTACAAGCAAAGGAAGACCCATCACTCGAAAGAACAGCAGAAGACACGCCCACAGGGAAAAACAAACACAGACACACACAAAACAAGCCTTCTGCATGCCGGGAATAACTCCCCGGCAGCTTCCGTGAGACAGGGTCATACTTACACTTCTGGACTGGGTAGTTGGGGTGCGGCTGGTGCTCTGTGGTGGTTGGGGCATAGGCAGGTTGCTTGTCACACCTTTTGCTAACTGAAGAGATACACAGGTAGCCTCAGAGTCTGTCAGAGAGCTCAAATTCCACATAACCCCAGGCACTCCCTGTTTCTATTAGTCAATAGGCTACTATAGAAATGGTTGCTCCAACTTAATGCAATTGCGGGACACTAAGGCATTTAAAAAATGCATATCAAACCACAAACAGCATCACTGGACACGGCACAGCATTACAGGTGGGATATAAGGTATACAAAGACATAAAAGCAACTCAGCACTTGGTAAGCCACAAATTCTCAGGATTCTGAAAGCAACATTCTCAGAACCACTAGCTCTGCAATAGCCTAATTCAACCAGGAAAAACAGAGGTGAGTACAGAACCACAGTAAGGCTGAAGGCACCCCCCTCCACCACCCCCCAAGTAATCCAGAGAACTTAGAGCAAGTAATAACTAATCTACTGCCAAGGGGAATGACCCAACACGGAGGGGAGGATGGAGAAGGTGCATGTGCTGAAGAGGATTGGGGAAGGAGCTACAGACAAGTAGCAAGTGAGCTAAATCCTCAGCTCCGATGGCAGATTACCAACAAATCCAATCTGAAATAGCAGAGTCAAAAATAGCGATGTGAAAGGAGCCTCGGGCTGGCTGGTTAGCTCAGTTGGTTGGAGCATGGTGTTGTAACACCAAGGTCAAGGGTTTGGATCCCGATACCGGCCAACCAGCAAAAAATAAAAGTGAAAGGAGTCTCCATAAAATAAATGATATGTTGAAGAGGGAGGTAGGAAGAAAAAACTGAAAATAAGGGGGAAAAAAAATACAAACTCCAGGAAAAAGTAAGGCTGTGCAAGAATAAAAATGTAATCACAGTATAGTATGTGAGTCCACAGTGAATGGTACGGTCCTAATAATGTAAACAAGGAGTATCGCATTTCAAGTTTTAGATTCAGCCAACAGACAAAAGCAGGAAGACTTTGCTGCAGTCACAGGAATGCATGTGTTCAACCTTGCTGCCAAGCAGGTAAACAGCCTGGACATGACAGGGACGGAAGCGGGGGGAGGAGTTGGGCTGAGAGGGGTCAAGAGCCACTGTCTACAGCGGACAGAGCAAGAACTGAGGGGGAAGGGGTTTTATTTGGCCAAGGTAACCCAGAGCACACATGCAATAGTGACCTCAGTAGTCTGAGAGGAGGAAGAGAAGTCACATAAGTGACCTCAACTTTCATCTTGTAAAGCTAGAAGTCAACAGTAATGTCTAAAGATAAAGTCAAGAAACAGAACTACGGGGAAGTATATTATTTATAAATAAGGAGATAAATACCAGAAGAACCAGAAACAGCAGTGGAGACTGGAACTAGGAAGAGCTTTTCCCCATACACTTTACTTTCTATAACTATATGCATGTACT